AGGCCCTGTGGTAAACCAGAACATATAATTAGAAAGAACATTAACCATAAACCACCCAACAGGCTAAACATATTCTGTCATAAAGCAATAAGACACTAAAGTAAAAATAAAAAAAGCTCAGGGTCAATTTATAATTCCTGCCTTATCTTCTGAATTAGCCCTAACTGAAATAAGGCTCCTGCTTTCATTATTTCCTGCCCTCTTGAGTACTTTCTGAGAGCACAAGTGACACAACCCTGAACTGCAATTGTCAGTTGCCAGACCCTCATCCATGGTGCTGATGGATGACCAAGGCCCACAGAGGAAATTACATCGTTATCTAATCTGACAAAGCGAGGAACACTGCACCTATAGCTGCTGCTGGTTTAATCCTAAGTGAGCGGGAAAAGGAGATATCTCTACAAACCAGCTGACTGTGCCACATGGATTTTCTGAACAGGCCAAGGGGGGGACGTTTTAGCTTTGATGAGCTTGTACATCTATCAACTACTTTTGGCCTCTTCAAAATGATCAAAGTTTTATCCTGTGTGACAGGATAACTCCTTATCCACCTCAGCGGAGAAGATGAAACCTGAAGCTGTGACAGCGTGGACGCACAAGACGAAAAGTGGCGAGCTTGCCTTGGGAGCAGAGGTTTGCCACTCTTACGGGAATATTTTTGTAAAGCTTACTTGGAGATTAAAGTTGTGCAAGCATCTCACTGAGTCCTGTTCACTAAATTCCCAACAAAGGGGCAATATTCTCTGGTTTCTAGATTTGAAAGATGCTTTTTCATTAGTGCAAACAATAATTGAGCTGTTTGAGTATATCAATAACATAAGAGTTTGTAATTTCCTCCTGCTGAGAAACGCTCTGCCCTTGCATCATCTCAAACTTAGCAATATCCTTGATCACACATTTAAATAAACAAACTAAAACCAAATCAGTCCCAGTGCCATATGAGCAATATTTAAAACAGGCAGCAAAGACAGCCTGGCCCCCGCACTGAGCATAAACAGGATAAGTTAAACCAACAATTCATTGAAGTAGAGTCAAACACAGGACGGCTCGAAGCCAATAATGTCACACATGAGGAAGGAACACCGGCTCTAATGGACACTAATACCAAGCAGTGAGGCATAAAAGATTACAGGCTTGTTCATCGAACCCCTTGACAAAAAGACGACAGCAGCTCAGCATACATAATCACACGCAGGACAAGGATTAGTCGATGAACAAACATTCAATTACATTTTTAGACCTTCAGTGAAATAGAAAGTGGAAAGTGTGACGTTACAGCAAAGAGAAGAGGGAGTAAGAAGATCGTACACTCAGTGGGAGATCTGAGTATGTGTTTACCCACACAACTGGACATATTATTATTATTATAGTGAAATAAGTTACATACAGTAACAAAAAAACTTTTACTGTGTTATCCTCTATGAACAAAGTAGGTGGTTCACCAAGAAGAATAAGTATAAGTAAAGTGGAAGTATGCCTTCTCTTCATTTTTATAAAATGTTTTATTTCAAGAAAGCAGCTTGGCTAAAGTTAGCTAACATTGGCCAACGAAACAGGCACTATCCCTCATTTTACCTTTCTGTTGTGTTTCAGTTTGAGTCTAAGTGCACTATGTCTTTCTCTGTCTCCGAGCTTAGATTACCAGAAGAAGGCTACACTACTACTATACTTCCAGGATGTACTTGGTAGTACACTCCTGTGCTGGTACATTACAGTGAGATCAGATTGAATTAATAGGATTTTGTGGGGGAAATAAACAAAGGTTTGCTGGTGCTGTTGTGCAACTTTATCACATTTCAACTTGGATCCTTTGATATTAACTGTTTCCACAAACACGGTTAATGAACGATACAAATTTTGATGTGGAGAGATGTTGGATGTCTGAAGTGGGGCATGTCTGAAACCCAGAACCACTGTCATACTGTGAACATTTTGTTCCAGGTTCCCCCAAACATTTTACTGTAAAACAGCTCCTCTGTGATGAGTCATGTAAAATGGCTTCTTATGAAACCATTGACCATATACGTACCAACATATAGAACCCAAAAGTATGAGGAACAATTTGAGGAACACAACGTATCGTGATTCAGTGTCAACCCCTCTTCCCATCTTTTCACAGCTTGTAACTGTTTCCACTAACACTAAAATTTCAATGGAGCACAAATACAAAACAATGCATGCTTTAGGATCTGAATGAAGACTGATTCCATGGATCTAAAGTGAAAAGGAGGAAACAGATGTGGAAGCTGAAGATTAGATTCCTGTCAGGCCTCTTCTCGTGCACAGCTCTGCTCTCAGTCTGGTCAAATGCCACCATGCACTCTGATTATTTAAGCCCCCACACAGACAAAACTGCTGACCACGTAGGTCTTGTCCGTCTTGTCCAGATGATCAGTGGATCGATCCACACATCTAGTCATGCGCACCCTGAAGTGTGGACGATTAAGCCTGGCAACAAATGAGAAGGGCCCGCCTGGCTGTTCTGCTTCCAGAGCAGGTTATTCATCTGGCATATGGTCAGGGCCAGTGATTAAGCCATTCTGAGCACCGGTGCACTAAAAGGTAGAATAAAGCTTCTTTAATGCAGCCATATGGAACTGGGACAAATTTAGACATAGGCAGTGCTCTAAGTTATTGATCCAGATATGACTGGGATTATATTGTGATCACTAAACCAGGACTGGAAACATGTCTTCAGTATTTCTTTATGATGATTGATGAGTGGTCATGCTGTGTGTACATTAATAATTCTGTACTAATGTGACCTAATTCAATCTCTGTGGGGAAACACAAACTGTCAGACATCAGCAAGTGTGTGTGTTTGTGCGTATGAGTGTGTGTAGTGCTGACCCCAAGTCTCATCCTCCGTTGCCCACATGGCACCAAGTGGCCTGTTGACAGCAGTTAGACCTTTAACACAGCCTGGGAATAAAAAAAGATTTGTGTCCCTGGCGCTGTGCTGTACATGAGTGCACACGAGGTAGTGATATAGCTCTTTAGTCTTAACCTCTGCATTTCTGCATCCAAACCAAACTGGCAATATGAAAATTTTAATTTCTCCTATGTTGGACTCAGTGCATGTTTTTCTGATAAAGAGACGTAACACAAAAGGTCTATAACTGTTCTGCAGCATATATCGTTTATGGGTAGCCCTGCAGCAGCCTCAGACTGGGTCCAAGATAATGGATGGAATGGATGTGCGTTTGATAATGAGGAGGCATGTCCTAGTTTGGACGTGCACTGCTCCCCGGGGGGTTCCATTATACACAGCTCAATCCTCTGGGCCTATTTTTTTTTTTTTTACGAGGAAATGGAAGAGGAACAGAGTACAGTCTTAATCCTTACCCTCACACCATCTGCTGATGGGGTGAACGTTAAAGTGTAGAGTGAACTAAAACTAATAATTCTATAAATATGTGGAGAAAATGTATAAGCAACCTTTCTAACTGAATTATCTGATCACAATTAGTAAAGTAATTGATTCACAGATCAGGATTTGTTTAAGCAAAGCCCTGGACAGTACACTAAAGGAATGCTGGGATTTTTAAAGATACATCCTACTGGCGCAACCCACAAACACCATATGTTTCACTCGGTCGCGGTCACTGACCTGAGAGTGAGAGTGCAAAACCGCTTGTAGTGCAGCCAAAGCATTTCTCTGTCTTCATGCATTTGTCCATGTGGGCCAGGTTTTGCACTTAATGCATCTTGCTTACATTTTACTATTGACAGAAAAACCTCTGATGCAGATGTGGGAAAAAAGCAATACATGATTTACAGCCACAAATTCACACACATTACACAAGAGCTCATGTAGAGAGGAAAATGTCTTGAAAACCAATGAATCATCACTGCGTCCATGTCTCCCATTGGTCACTGTGACATATGGTCTTTAAAACACTGTCAAACATCCAATCAGGGCTTGGAATCACTGCTACAGATTGAGCCCTCTGCAGACAGTGGGTCTATAAACGAGGAACTATTGAGTGATCTATGCTTCTTATAGTAGTTAGTCTAGATCAGACATCATTCATTAAGATTTTCAGCCCCCCATGTTTCCATGTCATGACGTGGATTTCACTGATAATCTATCACCTGGGCGGGTTAGCTCTGGAGGAGGATGATGATTCACTCCCTCTGCTGTCATCTACAGCGTCACCTCTGTATTTATGTCACGTCATTATCTCCCTCTTTTATCAAGTGGAGTGAGTGGGGGCCTGGGGGTGGAAGTCTTCCTATACGTGGGGGGTCCTTGGCAATGATTGGGACCCTGGCTGATAAAGCTGTGTGACTGTGGAATCATCCCGATTGCAGCTGCAGAGGATGGAGCACTATCAGCAGCTCATCACCACACTTGAACTGAATGGACATCTGCTTAGAGGAGAGTGAGGACCTGTTGTTCTTGGGTCGGGATGACACACATGGACACACTGTAGGTGGGGCATGGTGGTGGATTATCTGAATCATAGCGGTGGGACCCCTGCAGGACTCCACTTGCCCAACAACCCCTCACCTAGAATAACTAATGCCTCTTGTAAGAGTGGTGTGACACTTTAACTATCCCAAATGAGTGGGAATCAAACACAGCCGCCCACAAACACACAGAGCCACAGCCGCCTGCTGGCCCAATGCAACCATTTTAATTGTACCAACAACTGCCTGCGGCGTCTCTTGAATGGAAAGTGAGCATCTACAGGCCTGAGAGCGGTGCTTCTCTTCTTTAGAAACTTACACACTGGAAGTTTGCCCTGCAGGTTTTTATCCCTGAATGGTCTGTGTGGGGCTGCAGAGGAGAGGCGGCATCTGAGGCTGCCCTTTGCAAAAACCCATTTCACAACTGGATCAGACCCACTCCTGTAAAAACATCACTTACTCCAGTTTAGTGACTGATCCACCCGTGCAAACTTCAGACCCACTCCTGAGCGTGTGTGTGTGTAATCCGGACACACAACCCTGTGCATGCACACGATTAGAGGAGAAGAGGAGGCACAAAAACTTACGTGAAAACGAAAAATAAAGTGGTGGACCCCACGAGCAGTGTGGCAGCAGTGGACACCGGGATGTATTTGGTGGGTTTAAATCTCTTTCCAGCGCTGGTGGGCATTCTGTAATTTCCACATTCCTCTATTAATTATTCCGATTGGAGGCGCATGTGGGAAGAAAATAAAGAGGTCCAGGTCCGGTGTGGAAGCCTTTTTCTGCGGGTGTGAAAGGTACAAGCAGTCCGTGTGTGCTACCGATGAAGCCGCATAGATCCTCAGAGAGAGAGAGAGGCAGGAACACACGGGGCTGGAGCTCTCTCTCTCTCTCTCTCTCTCTCCTGGAGATCCCACCCTCACGGTACAACCCACTGCTGAGGTCACTGAACCGCTCGAAAAGGTGGAGCCTCGATCCCTGGAAACCCTGCAGGCGTCTCCTTGAGGAGAACTGCCCATGTCTGCTGCTGGTTGTTCTGCATTTCATCAGGAGCCATGGATCGCTCTTCAGGCAGTTTTACCCGGGAGATTTTACCCGCGAGATTCCACGATCATTCAAATCACACACACACACGCACGCACCTATTAAAACCAGTGTTTATTGAATCTACAACGTGTTGCAGAGTTCAGGGTAAATCAGTGTTTCTGGACGTTTGGACGCTGCAGCCACCGGCACCAAACTCCATTCAGATTCTGTTCGTTTTATGTTGCTTCACTTACCCACGAGTGTACACACGCAATCGGTGCATATATAATTTGATTCACATAGTATCTTCTTCAACTCTTCATTCCGGCATGGTCACTGCACATCAGTCAGCGCGTTTGTAAATGAAAATCCGGTTGTTGAAATGAACTTCTCCCTCTTCTCTCATCCTGTAAAGTGTTAAAACGACAAATAAATCATGTGATGATTTGTGCGACTTGAACTGGGCTCACACCTCACAACTACCTCATGTGTTTTGATTTTATTTCTTTCTTTAGTGCTTTATTATCTTATTACTAATATTTAATCAGCTGTCTTTAAGAGTTTGGATGATATAACTTGCTATTTTCACTTATATTATCATTATGATTATAATGATTATTATTATGATGATGACATGTGTGGGTTTACAGTGCCTCTTGCAGTTATGACTCCAGATGTAGGGGTCAGAGCGCCCTCTTGTGGCACAACTCGAGACGTGTGTGAAAAGCGAAGTCCAGCAGTTTTGTCCCCGCCGGGCCTCCGTAGTGTTTGTAGGACACTAGATTAGCTTGCTATCTGTTGTGCCGACTGTATTTTTAGTTTGTAGCTGAGCGCCGCCGCCCTGCACTCATCTGTGCCACGGCGTTTACTCTCACTTGCTCCCGGGGGACAATCAGACGCCATTCGTCCAAACGAAGCCGCAGAACAGTGAGGACAGGCGGCGCTGCGTCTCGCTAGCGACCCATCAGAGCTCAGCTAATTAGCTAGCGGTAGTGTGCTAACCCCCACGGCGGCTCGCAGGACGATGTCGTACAGGAAAACTTTCCAGCTCATCTGCGGGGTCGCCGGAGGCTCCGCCGTGCTGGTGTTCGCGGCCGCCGCCGCCGACTCCCGCGGGTACTTCGGGGAGCGTCGCGAGGAGGCGGCGGGCAGCCGGTGGTCCAGACTGACGGTGCTCCGAGCTGCGCAGCCGGCGTGGACAACAGCCAACCACACACCGGCCCCGAGCGGACACGCCTGGGACGTCAACTGGGACAAGTGAGTGACCCGCCGGCGTTGTCTCGGGTTGTTTCCGCGCAGCTAGCTCTGGAGCACTGCCTCCATTGTTGCTTTGTGTGGGTGCAAACCACCTCAGAGCTCAGTGACATCACTTTATTAGGCTTCTAGACACTTAAAGTTCATTTGATCTCAGTGAAAGATGTGGTGCCACATTGGTCCGGGCAGAAAACTTTATCAACAATTATCTCTATATATGTTTTATCAATGGGGATTTAACTAAAGGCCAATAGCCTATAGCTATTGTTTAGTATACATCTATGTGTGTCACATAAATGATCTCCCTCAGATTGTCATTTGTTTAACAAACGTAATAATCATTATTATAAACTTTATATAGCACCTTTCTAGACACAGTCACAAGATGCTACACAAATATTAAAGGCAAACCGGAAGCAGAGCAGTTTGAAGACAACGCAGCATGAGAGCACAAATCGAAACATATCGAATGTCCCGATCAGAAAAGTGCAAAACGAAACCAAAACACCGGAAAATGATTGAAATAGTTGGTAAGAGCTAGAAAAAAGCAACCTGTCTCTAAGAGAGATTAACAAGAGGACATGGACTCTGCCAGAGGAGATTGTTTTAAAGAGTGTGAACCCTGACAGATAAACTCGGTCACCTTTGGTCCTCAGCTGTTAAAATCACAACCTTCTCTCAGGAGCGAAACTGAGTCTTTAAACGGAACACAAACATCAATTTAACATTTATTGTGAAAATGATTGATATCAGCTGATTTGGAAGTAATTTATCTTGACAACATGATTTGCCTCTTCTAGAACTCAACTCAACACGTTGCTAAAGTGAATAGTTTTGGATGCATGCCGATTCTAAGGAAGGATCAAGAGGATTTGTGAGATTCAGGATCCTTATTCCTCGAGGACCAACCACGTATCTATAAATAGTACATTTTTAAAATAAAGCTTGTCGTTGAGAATCTTCAAAACTAGCTCCTCAGAGTTTCATGCTGATCATCATCATTAATCATAGTTGTGTTAACACAGATCTCCATGCTTAAATTTAACTCCTTAACCAACCAGACAAAGCCACTTCTAATCTGAAGACCGCTGCGTCTTAACTGTGTTCAGGAGAGACCCATCTGTGCTGTCCAACGGGAAGAAGAAAGAGAGTGCAACCGAGGACCCCAGCTCCGAGCAGGACAACGGCAAACCCAAGGCTACACGCAACATCCTCCTCATCAGACACTCCCAGTACAACCTGAGTGGAAACAGCGACCAGGAGAGGATCCTCACTCCACTAGGTCTAGTTTTTTTACTCTACATGAATGAGGAACCTCCCAGCACTCTGGGGAGTAGTTTCAGTCTAAGAGGTTCATGTCTATGTTTGGGACCAGCCCCATTGTGGAGAGGATACCTCTTCTCTTGCCTGTTGTTCCAACCAAAGTTTACCGACCATCTTGGTGTCACATGTGACCGACAAGTTCCTCGTCGTAATGACTGTGTCTCTACTTCCAGGCCGTGAACAGGCTGAGTTGACGGGCCAGAGGTTGGCAGCGCTGGGGCTGAAGTACGATGTCCTGATTCACTCCAGCATGGCCAGAGCCACAGAGACTGCAAACATCATCAGCAAGCACCTCACAGGTAGTGGATAGATCCAACACCGCCGCTCACTAAGCCTCATAACTTCGATCATGTGTAAGGTTTTGGAAAGTTTTTAGCTACTACTCTTTTAAGATGTAAAACTTTACATTTCCACACTTTAACTCATATTTTCATTTGACGTATTCTCTTGTTGAAATTGTCTGTTGTCTCTGAAGACAAAAAAACAACATTTGTCATCCATGTCCTGTTGATCTTTGTGGTCCCTCTTACTATTTCTCTTTTAACAACTTTGTTTCTGTACTATACCAACTAGAGTCGGTGCAGAAACACCGAACATCTTAAATATATAATAACATTTTGTCCTCGCACTGAATGTCGTACGGGTCTAGGAGTGGAGCTGGTGAGGTGTGATTTGCTGAGGGAGGGCGCACCTATAGAGCCGGTTCCACCTGTCACTCACTGGAAACCTGATGCTGTGGTGAGAGAGGCTGCATCCACTCTACCGCTAGAGTGGATGTAGGCCTGATTTTTCTGTATTTGCTTTTCTTTATTCAAGTAACTCTGTGCCTCTCACATGTCTGTGCAGGCGTTCTGTCATGTGATTGTTCAGGCTTACAGCTGCAAAAATCAGCCAGGGCATTCAGTGCAATGCCACAGGAATGGAAATAAGAAGAGTTCATTTCCAAAATGCCAACGTTACAGGAAGTCACTATTATTATCATCTACCACTATGAGATCAACAGTTGCTATAAATATTTAGTTGGTACAGCTTCTGGATTACATACAATTTAGAATCAGCTCGCCTCACTGCAGAAGTAATTTTTTTGCAGATAGATATTTAAATTTTTCCTAAATTAAAAATAATATTTGAAAAACTCTTTTACAAAAACACTGCCCTGAGTACGCTGGATAAACCCATTAGCTTCAGACTTTAAACTTTATCTTCCCGTGGGAAAGTTTGTTTTCAAAGTTCAGTACAGATCAACTCAAATAGACACATTTTAACACGGGCAACCCACAGGTAGGACAGTACAACACTTTAAACATAGAACCAGAGCAAAGAAGACTGTTGACGTTGGGGTCTGTGGATGATCAAGAATAACCAGGACAGTATTTTATCCTGGTAAACTTCCATTTAAAATCTTCAAACATGGTGTCACCATGACAGAAAGAAGTCAGTTACACTTGTTTTTCTTAAAAACAGAATTGTTCAGAAAACATTTCTTGCTAACGTGTTTTTCAGTAATGCCTCACCTGAAGTTTGTTGGACATAATTGGATCATTCATTTGAATAATCCAGTTTTCTGCAAGTCAACAGTGATTTCAGAAGGAGCACTTCTGTCTCGGTTATTTTGGAAAGAAGCTCTTCGGACATTCCTCACAGTGTACAGCAGCATCATGTACTGACTGACGGGTTCTGACGGAACCTTTTTCATGAGACAAAGCTGGCTTTCAACCTCTCTACCATCCTCCAGCAGTACCATGAAGACGGGGCTCGCATTGAGGCAGCCTTCCGCCGCTACATCCACCGGGCTGACCCCAAGCAGAAGGAGGACAGCTATGAGATCATCGTGTGTCATGCCAATGTCATCCGTTATTTTGTCTGCAGGTTTGTGTCGTCAGCGGGCAACGTGGTCGCGGTTCACGCCGCGGCCAGAGTGTGGGCTCTTGCTTTGCTAACTGTTGTGTTAATTCTGCCTCATAAGATCCTATGATTGAATTTGTGCTTTAGTTGTGTCACGCTCCTAAAGGGAGAATCCTCTTTGATGTAAACATGCTAACTGCTACACATGTGTATTTTTTGGTGACTGCTCCTGGATATTCAGCGAAGCCCGACCAATACAGATTTTACGCGGTTGATGCCGATACAATTATCAGGGAGTAAAACAATTCTGATTCTGATATTTTGGCATGATTCCTAAGATGTCGTCATCAAAGCCATATGACAAAGAAAGATAATTGAGGCCTTATATTTTACAGTTTAAACATAAACAAACACTTAATAAAAATAACAATAAAATAACTTTTCTTAACCAAAAATGTTAACAAAAATGCACATCCTTTCTGCTTTGTGTCTGTAAAATGAGAAATG